TTGTATAAGGTGTAATATTTGTATAAGGTGTAATTTTTGTATAAGATGTAAGGAAGTTTCAGCTTCCTGCATGTGGCTAGCCAGTTTTCCCAACACCATTTTTAATGGTATTGTTTTTGTCTGGTTTGTCAAAGATCAGATGGCTGTAGATGTGTGGCATTGTTTCTGAGGCCTCTGTTCTGTTCCATTGGTCTATGTCTCTGTTTTGGTACTAGTACCATGCTGTTTTGATTACTGTAGCCTTGTAGAATAGTTTGAAGTCAGATAGAATGATGCCTCCAGCTTTGCTCATTTTGCTTAGGATTGTCTTGGCTATGTGGGCTCTTTTTTGGTTCCATATGAAGTTTAAGTTGTTTTTTTCCAGTTCTGTGAAGAAGGGCGATGATAGCTTGATGGGTATAGCATTGAATCTAGAAATTACTTTGGGCAGTATGGCCATTTTCACAATATTGAATCTTCCTAGCCACGAGCATGGAATGTTTTTCCATCTGTTTGTGTCCTCTCTTATTTTCTGGAGCAGTGATTTGTAGTTATCCTTGAAGAGAGCTTTTACATCCCTTGTTAGTTGTATTCCTAGGTATTTTATTCTCTTTGTAACAACTGTGAATGGGAGTTTACTCATGATTTGGCTCTTTGTTTGTCTGTTGTTGGTGTGTGGGAATGCTTGTGATTTCTGCATATTGATTTTGTATCCTGAGACTCTGCCGAGGTTGCTTATCAGCTTAATGAGGTTTTGGGTTGAGATAATGGGGTCTTCTAAATATACAATCATACCGTCTGCAAATAGGGACAATTTGACTTCTTCTTTTCCTAATTGAATGCCCTTTGTTTCTTTTTCTTGCCTAATTACTCTGGCTAGAATACTATGTTGAATAGGAGTGGTGAAAGAGGGCATCCTTGTCTACTGCCAATTTTTAAAGGGAATGATTCTAGTTTTTGCTCATTTAGTATAATATTGACTGGGGGTTTGTCATAAATAGCTTCTATTATTTTGAGATACATTCCATTGACACCTAGTTTATTGAGAGTTTTTAGCATAAAGGGCTGTTGAATTTTGTCAAAGGCCTTCTCTGCATCTATTGAGATAATCATGTGGTTTTTGTCTTTGGTTCTGTTTATGTGGTGGATTACATTTATAGATTAGCCTATGTTGAACCAGCCTTGCATCCCCGGGATGAAGCCTACTTGATCATGGTGGATAAGGTTTTTGATGTGCTGTTGGATTTGGTTTGCCAGTATTTTATTGAATATTTTTGCATCAGTGTTCATCATGGATATTGGCCTGTAGTTTTCTTTTTTAGTTTTGTTTCTGCCAGGTTTTGGTATCTGGGTGATATTGGTCTCCTAGAAAGAATTAGGGAGGATTCCCTCTTTTTGTATTGTTTGGAATAGTTTCAACAGGAATGGTACTAGCTCCTCTTTGTATGTCTGGAAGAATTCGGCTGTGAACCCATGTGGAACTGGATTTTTTTTTGGTTGGTAGGCTATTAATTGCTGCCTCAACTTCAAACTTTGTTATTGGTCTATTCAGTGTTTCAACTTCTTCTTGGCTTAGTCTTGGGAGTGTGCAAGTGTCCAGGAATTTATCCATTTCTTCCAGATTTACTTTATGTGCATAGAACTGTTTTTAGTCATCTCTGATGGTAGTTTGCATTTCCAAGGAATCGGTGGTGATCTCTCCTTTGTCATTTTTTATTGCATCTATTTGAGTCTTCTCTCCTTTCTTTATTATTAGTCTAGCTAGTGGTCTATTTTGTTGATCTTTTCAAAAAACCAGCTCCTGGGTTTATTGATTTTTTTGAAGTTTTTTTTTTTTTTTTTGTCTCTATTTCCTTTAGTTCTGCTCTGATCTTAGTTATTTCCTGTCTTCTGCTTACTTTTGAGGTTTTTTTTTTGATATTGCTCCTCTAGCTATTTCAATTTTGATGTTAATATTGTTATGATTGAATTCGATCCTGCCATTTTGTTACTGGCTGGTTGTTTTGCCTATTAGTTGACATGGTTTCTTCATTGTGTTGTTGTTCTTTACCATTTGGTACGTTTTCGCAGTGGCTGGTACTGGTTGTTTCTTTCCCTGTTTAGTACTTCCTTCAGTAGCTCCTGTAAGGCAGGTCTTGTAGCAGTGAAATCTCTCAGCAGTTGCTTGTCCATTAAGGATTTTATTTCTCCTTTAATTATGAAGCTTAGTTTGGCTGGATATGAAATTCTGGGGTTGAAAGTTCTTTTCTTTAAGGATGTTGAATATTGGCCCCCACTCCTTTCTAGCTTGTAGAGTTCCTGCTGAGAGACCCACATGAGTCTGATGGCCTTTCCTTTGTGGGTGGCTCAACCTTTCTCTCTGGCTGCCTTCAGGATTTTTTCCTTCATTTCAACCCTGGTGAATCTGACGATTATATGCCTTGAGGTTGCTCTTTTTTGAAGATTATCTTTGTGGTGCTCTCTGTATTTCCTGTATTTAAATGTTGGCCTGCCTTGTTAGGTTGGAGAATTTCTCTTGGATAATATCCTGAAGAGTGCTTTCCAACTTGGATTCATTCTCCCTGTAACATTCAGGTACAGCAATCAAGCGTAGATCAGGTCTTTTTACATAATCCTATAGTTCTTGGGGGCTTTGTTTGTTTCTTTTCACTCTTTTTTCTCTATTCTTACCTTCTTGTTTTATTTCATTGATTTGATCTTCATTCTCTGATATCCTTTCTTCTGCTTGATAGGTTAGGCTATTGAAACTTATGCATGCCTTGCAAAGTTCTCATGCTGTGTTTTTCAGCCTCATCAAGTAATTTATGCTCTTATCTAAGCTGGTTATTCTAGTTAGCATTTCATCTAACATTTTTTCAAGGTTCTTAGTTTCTTTGCATTGGGTTAGAACATGGTCTTTTAACTCAGAGAAGTTTGGTATTATCCACCTTCTGAAGCCTGCTTCTGTCAATTCGTCACACTCATTTTCTGTCTTGTTTTGTTCCCTTCATGATGAGGAGTTGTGATCACTGGGAGGGAAAGAAGTGTTCTGGTCTTTGAAGGTTTCATCCTTTTTACACGGTTTTTTTGCACTGGTTTTATCCCATCTTCATGGACTTATCTCCCTTTGATCTTTAAAGTTGGTGATTTTGGGAGGAATCTCTGAGTGGACGTCCTTTCTGTTGGAGTTGGAACTACATCTTTTTTGGCCTGTAGAGGCCCTGCTGGGCTGCCTCAGATTCAGTCAGGTTGCTCGGGGAGCGGTCTTCCCCTGGGGTTTGTTTGCAGGTAAAATTGGCCCCACCTTCCCAATGGTGTCTCTCCTTCCCTGAACTCAATCTTCCTGGTTGGGGTCAAACTGGTGTATTCACTGCCAAGCTCTCTGGCACTCGGGCTTCAGTTTGAGTTTTTTTGGGGTGTGGGGCCTGCCAGACCTTATGACCTGTTTCCCTGCTTTCAACTCTGCCTCTTTCTGTGGGATGGGTTGTTCCGTCCTGCTGGTGTTAGTCCAAACTTCTGGCCAGGTCTGGCCAACAACTTGTGGCACCAGGTGGGAGCTGTTGCTCAGATTTGCATCAACAACCCATGGTACCCCTCAGTCTGGCAGGGCTCTCATGGACTGTGGGTTGCAGGAGGGATGAGATAAGCACAGGATCTGAATTGGAGCACCAAGGGGTGAAGTCCCCTGACCCTCCGAGCCGGCTGCACATTCCAGATGGGGACGTGCCCTTCCCTGTCTCAGCTTGTCCTCTCTGGGCAGCTCTTGCACTGCTTTGACTTCTTCCCTGGCTATTTTCAGAGTCCTTCTAGTCTCCACAAAATGAACCCAGCACCTCACTTGGAATCGTGAAGTCCTTGAGCCCTCTTTGTCTCATTTGCTGGGAGCTGCATTCCAGTGTTGCCTCCTCTCGGCCATCTTGGTGCCACCTTGACAATGAGCTTTTTAAGGTCTTTGACTGTAATGTGTCCTTGGAAGCAAGGTGCTCACTCCATTTGCTTCCTAGAAAGTTCCTATGGTTGTGCTGTCATTGCTTCTTGACCTTGAGAGGTTACCTGCTGCACTCTCTGGCTTCAAGCAAGACTTTATCTAATTCTTCCTCAAGAAAACACCTACTTTAAAAATATTCTTACAGGAAAGGGGAATCTATACCCTTTTAAAATGATCTTTAAATAAAATTAGACTCCCAAATAGCAAAGTTGTAAGAAACAGTGAGGATTGTTTAAGCCAATTCTTCCATTTTGTATATGATGCCTCGATGAGGGAGAGGGAAAGAAACGGCCACAGTTTATGTGGTTAATTATTATGCAGCTTGGTGGCTAAGAGTTTAGTGGGCTCTGGAGCTGGGTGGTCTGGGTCTGCGTCCTGGTTCTCTACTTGCTAGCTACATGACTCTCTGAACAAGTTTCTTAACCTCCTCGTGCCTCAGTTACCTCACTGCAAAATGGTGGTAACAACAGTGCTTACCTCACATGATTGTGGTGAAGATTAAATATGTTTCCATGTGTAAGGCACAAAATAAACTATATATGTGTGTTTACTATTCTTGTTGTTGACAGCACTAGGATTCGAGTCCACATTGCTTAACTTCCTTGTCTGGTGTTCTTTTCATTTCCTTAAATTCTCTTCCACCAAGGTCTTTTTTGTAACTGGCTGAGGTTCTTCCAACTTTCGTTTGACCCATGCCCATCAGTTCTCCTCTTAGTCTGGATACCCATGTGGGTCTTGTGCATATTAGTTTCGCTCACTATGGTCATGGGACTCTGAGGTCAGATAGACTTGGATATGAGTTCCAACGTTACCACGTAGAGGCCACTAAGCTTCCTTGTGCCTCCGTTTCTTCATTTATACACTGGGGTTAACAAGGAGCACCTACCTTAGTGAGGTTGCTGATAGTATTAAATAAGGAGCCATTTATAAAAGCACTCAAAAGAATGCCAGACGCTTGCTAAATACGTAATACGTGGCAGTATATTAGTGTTTGTACTACTAGTACAACTCCTTATGGAATTTTCCAAGTCATAAGTGTACTTTTCTCTTGCAGATTATCTGAGTAGGCTGAACCATCAGTGAAAAAGAGGCCAAGCATCTCAAAAATAGGACACCTGAGAATATGGAGCCAACGTGACACTCAGGTCAGTTAGCCATATGATTCCCAAACATGCAGTCCTTGGACCAGATGCGTCAGAATCTTCTAGTAAGTGTACTAAAATATGGATTACTGAGATCCACCCTATATCTGTCAAATCAGAATATTCTAAGGAAGCAGGTCTCAGTGAATATGTATTTTAAAGCTACCTAAACATATTTCATAAGCTGCCAGATTTAGGAATCACAGGATTAGGTAGCTACCTAAATGAAGACTCTTAAAGAGTGCCACAAGCTTCTCTTTCACTCATCCACTTATCCATCTGTTCACCCACCCATGAGCCAAGCATGTGCCAGTATCTGGTATTTGCTTCGTTACCTGCTACTGCTGTGGTGGGTGCAAAGATGAATGATCAATGTTCTCAAAGAACCAATAGTCTAAGAAAATGGATGAATGAAGTATAAATAACAAAAGATGTGCTATGAAGTACTATGGGGATCCAGAAAAGTATATGCTTATTCCAGGCTGTAGTGGAAGACTCTGGAGAGGTTTCATTCTATATAATACCATGACTTCCCTTTCAGATCCATCTCTAATTCAAGCTTCTCCTACTTCTGACTGTTTATGTTAGATACCAGTCCTATGGATTTCTATAGTTTTCTGTAATTACTTTTTATGCACTACAGTAGTTATGTGGTTGCTTCTATGTTTTACTTAGAAGCCGAGAGCTTGATAAAAGTGAAGACTGCATCTTAATCATCACCTTTTCCCCTACCTCCTAATTAGTTCTCTACTTGCTAGCTACGTGACTCTGAACAAGTTTCTTAGGACTCTGCCTAAGCAGCTGCAGTGGGTGCTCAGTAGACATTGAAGAAGTTGGGTTGTTGCATTGATTATGCAAAGAAGGGGGACAGTGTGTAAGCCTGGGGTGTGGAGCAGGGCCAGGACCGATCATGGAATTTGGATCAAGTTTTGGGCTTTAGTTTTTAGGCGATGAGCATAAGACTATTTTGGAAGTTATATCCTTTGTTCACAAAAAAGTTAGAAAGGGCAAGAACTAGGGCAGTCCATCACAAAGTGTGGGAAAGGTAATTTTATATGTAAACTATTATAAATCACATTTGAGTTATGAAGTGAGACAATTATTCCCTTTGCAGTTTCATTTCATTTTAATTATTTCAGGGAGACATTCTGAATTGAGTGCTAGTGTTTTAACACTTCTCTAACACTTTCTCTTTTTAAATTGACAAATAGTAATCGTGTATATTTATGGGGTATATTGGGTATGGAGGGTGGGGTATTCTGTGATGTCTTGACCTGTGTATACATTGTAATACCTCTCTCATACTTTCTAATCCAAGAATCCCCGATCTTTTTGGTACCAGGAACTGGTTTCATGGAAGACAATTATTCCCCAGATGGTGGGGGTGTGATTACAGGATGGAACTATTCCACCTCAGATCATCAGGCATTAGATTCTCATAAGGAACACACAACCTAGATCCCTCACATGCACAGTTCACTATAGGGTTCATAGTCCTATGGCAAGCTAATGCTGCCACTGATCTGACAGGAGGCGAATTTCAGCTGGTAATGCTCGCTCATCTGCTACTCACCTCCTGCTGTGTGGCCCAGTTCCTAACAGGACATAGACTAGTACCAGTATACATGGCTGCTTGTGTATTTACATATATAGCTAAATATGGCTAGATTAGATATGACATCTCTTTGAATGCAGGGATAGATGGGCAAGTTTCTAAAACACAAAACTAACGATGTCTTCCCTGCTTAAGAACCTTCAGTAGCTCCCTGTTGTTTGGAACCAGATAGATTCTAAGCTGCCTACTTCAGAATTCTAGCTTAGAGATGTCTACACCTGGCTGCTCCCAACAGTCAGTCTCATTTTCTGTCTCAAACATGGGGCTTTAATAAGAATAAACTTTCCCAAGGATAATTTTATACTCTGCATGTCTTTAAAGGCTCAACCCTGGAGACCCCTCCCCCACCCTCCTCACCCTTTCACCAGGGCACCCTCTATTCATCCTTTCAGAGCCTCCACCAGGGAGTCCTTTCCCAATGCCGACTTCCCAGCCCAATCTTAGTGCTATTTCTATAGACACCCAGAAACACATCAACTATATGTACAGTTTACCCTAGGGTGTCAAAGTTATACATACTGCTTTAGGAGGGACTTTGAGCTTTTCTTCTTTATGACTTGGACTTCTGCTGCTGGGTCAGGCAGGTAATTGACACTCGACAAATGTTTGTTTAGCCTAACTCAGCTGAACACATAGTGTTATTAAGCTGATTTTGCTGAGTCTGCAACATTTCCTGCATGCATTCCCTGCTTGCATCCAATTATAGTCATCCTGCTTCTGTTTTCTTAACTTGTCACTCCCTTCCTCTGATAACTTTTGTCATATCTCTGTATCACATGGCCTACTTTTTGAAAAAGATTTTTTACTTTCTACATTTGTCTCAAATTTGTTTTTAAAAGAAACTTTGTGTCACTACCATCATTGAAAACTTTCATCCCTTGGCACAAAAGAAAGTTTTAAAAAAATATAACAAAAGACATTCTACTAAATTCTGGCTAGACAATCTCGCCTGCTTTAGTAGATGCACTGAGACCATTAATGAATCTTTCATCCCATCTTGTATCATCCTCTTTGCCACATGACTTTGGGTTTCCCTCACTAACTAGGCAAAGTTTCTGTCTCCATTGCCTGATTCTGAATTCAGCCATAGCACTTGCTCTATCCAATGTTGTTTTAGTAGATTTGACACATACAGAAGTGTGAAAAGCTCTTGTGCAACTAGGATTGGTCCTCTGCAGTGAGAACATGCCTGGGATAGTGTACTGAAAAGATGTGAGAAATGCGTGAAGCAGAGTCCAGTCATCTTAGTCAAGAACCAGCTGCGAATCTAACCATTAGACTTTGAGGCAAGTCCAGACCAAGGCCAAGGAACCACTGGCCTTAAAGACTGACCTGCAGGTTGCTGAGCTAAATAAAAGTTTATTGTTGAAGGGCACTGAGTTGTTTTTGTGTTCTACAGATATTAATGTGGCAACAGATAACTAATATACCTGCCACAGTTCTGAGCCTGAGACATGTTTTTCTCTTTGCTAAAAAGATAGATTAAAACAAGGGTCCCTGACCCCAAGGCCACAGTCTGGTACAGGTCTGTGGCCTATTAGGAACTGGGCAAGCTGGTGTTACTACCTGAGCTCTGCCTCGTGTCAGGTCAGCAGTGGCATTAGATTCTCATAGGAGCACAAACTCTATTGTGAACTGCATATGCAAAGAATCTAGGTTGTGTGCTTTTTATGAGAATCTAATTTTGATGATCCTGAGGTAGAACAGTTTCATCTAGAAACCATCCCCCTAATCAGCTTGGGAAAAAATTGTCTTCCACGAAACTGGTCCCTGGTGCCAAAAAAGTTGGGGATTGCTGTCATAGAGTTTACTTACACAAACCTAGATGGTATAGCCTGTTACACACCTAGGCTACATGGTATAGCCTATAGCTCCTAAGCTACACTCCTTTACAGCTTGTTACTATATTGAATGATGTGGGCAATTGTAACACAATGGTATTTGTGTATCTAAACATACCTAAAAATAGAAAAGATACAGTAAAAATATGGTATTATAATCTTATGAGACCACTATTACATCTGTGGGCCATTGTGGACCAAAATATTTATAGCCCGTGACTATATATGTATATACAACATATATGAGTGTTTATGTGTATAATACATTTATTTATACATATTTTTCTCTACAAAAATTCCTGCCAGGCAGTTTTCTGGCTTCTGTTTGCAAGCCTCCAGTGACAGGTGGCTTATTATTCTGCAAATGAGCCTGTTACAGTCCTGATTGTAACTGGATGTAAAAGATAGACTTGAGGCACACAAAACTGGAAATGGGGATTGTTGCGGTAATCCAGGCGAGGGACATAGAAGAGCCGAAATGAGCAGGGGGAGTCCGGACGTAATGATAGAGAGGCGAACTCCTTTGGTTGATGCTAAGTGCCATAAAAATGGGAATTGTATAAAATGTGAATTGTAAAGTGGCTGTGCTCACTTGAGAGCCTAAACTTACTGCATAAACAACTCCCAAATCGCACAAATATTTATTTTTCCTTTAAATGGACAAAGCAATGCTGACACCCAGTGGCTGGTTCAGATTTCCCACAGCTCCCAAAGAGAGGATCCCGAGGGAGATGAAAGTCAACTTGCCCAATGCTAACTGTCAGAGCAACCCAGGATCTTTAGCTGAAGGGCAAGTCTAAATTCAACCAGCAATACCCAGTCATGTGATGTGTTTGGTACCACATAAAGGATAGCTCCCAGTAAGTTTAATGCAGATAAAAGAGCCAATTAAACCTGCAGATGAAAACAGTGTTGAGTCAAAGTCAGCCCCTTGCAAAGCAGAGACAAAAGCAATTATCCTGAGTTCCCTGGAGAACTCCTATTCAAAGTACCAACAAGAAATGAAACCGTTAAAGGTCAGTTTCTCAGTCATATCAGTATTCTGTTTTGTCATAAGATGGCAGACTTCCTGCTTTGGATGGAAGCCACTGAACTCCCATTCTGACCCGGAGTCGGGATGTGATAAAACAACAAGGAACTTGACAAATCAAATGGACAAACAGGTCCAAGGAGTGAAATGGGTTTGTTAAGGTCTAAAAGCAAACTAATGGCAGAGGAGGAACACTAGTGTGCTTCCTGTCTGACCAGACTTAACAGCTGGAGCTCCAGCAGCCATCCTGGACCATGTGGCAAGGGCTACAATCGCAGGATGGTAGAGGGAGAAAGTAGAAGAGTCCAGTCATGAACAAATTCATGGGGCTGTCATACCAACCTGGAATGTAGACCAGATTTTTATGAACTCTCATGCATGCTCAAAATGTCAGTTATCATCTGTGTCATTGATGCTGATCATCCATCTACCTAATGTCGCCATCTGAACATCACAGAGGAATGTCAGAACAAAACTCAGGATCTTCTCCCCACAAATTCTGTTTTCCTGTGGTGTCCCTAAATGACAACACCAACCACTGCACAATCCGGAAGTAGAGGAGACATCTTTGACTCATTTCTTTTCTCTGAACCCTGTAACTGAAAAAATCACAATGCTTGAATACATGACTTTATCCCGTGTATTAACCCACTTCTTAACATTCTCCTCACCATTGCTGCAATCCTTACTGCTTTATCCATTGGACACATTTTGTTTGTTTGTTTATCGTCTCTTTCCTCCTCACAAGAATGCCAGCTTCCATGGCTGCCCTAGTTGACATTTCCCTGCTCTTTCTTCAGACACTCTATTTATTACACTCTATTATTTTCTTCATAGCTCTTATCAGCATCTGAAATGATGTGTGTTTGTCTATGAGACTAGGGGGCTCATCTGTCTTGTCCATGGTTGTTGACTCATGTAGTGAGAAATGAGCAGAGATTTTGTCCATTTGTCTCACTGTTGTATCACTAGCAGTCAGAACTGTGCCTAGTACAAAGTAAGCACTTAATGAATGCTTGTTGGTGAGTAAATAGGAATGTAGGTATACACATAATGTACATATAGTGCTTGGGCAGTAGGAGTATCTGGGGAAAGAGATGCCGGGATAGCAATTATTTGGTTATAGACTACAACTCATTTTATTTTTGTAGCCAATGACTGTTAAAGCCAATGTCGCATATCTGACAAGGACTCAGAAAGGCAGTCTGAGGTTTGATATCATCATCTAATGATGAAAAAAAAAATCAAACCTAGCTTTTGAAAGAAGAACTAGGGTACCTGGGGAATGTTGCCTTAGGTCAACTTGGGCTGCCACTTTTATATTGCTTTCCTTAATAGCCAGCATCTATAAAGAAGATAGTTGACTACTTGTTCATGCCACAGTTTAGCTGGTTTTTGACTGAATCCATGAAAGAAAGGAAGGAAGGAGGAAGAGAAGGAAAGGGATGGGAAAGGAAGGAAAAAAGGAAAGAAAGGGGCAGGGAGAGAGAGACAGAAAGAGAGCGAGAGAAACCTGTTCTATTTAAAGTATTACAAGGGAAATAGAAGGTCTTTCTACCTTCTCTTTTGTTCATTTCCTGACCCCACATTTGAATTGTTTATGTAACAGCCAGAATAATCTTTCCCTCTCCTCTCCTTCTGTTATTACTTCGCTCTCTTTTCCTCTTTTCTTCTCTCATTGATTTAATAAAATAAAGTGTACTTTTACTCCATAACAACTCAACATTAGTGTTGCTGGTTAGCAGGGGCCTGCTCATGTGATTATCTAGGAGCCTCAACGTGGCTCCTCTTATCTCGATGCTCTGAGCTCTTTTAGGGCCTCAGAGATTTCTACAAATCAGGAAAGAACAAGAAGGATCCTGCATGGAGGGATTTTGTAAGTCAAGTGCATGATCTCTGTAAAATATATGTTGTGTAGTGTCCTACCCTGCCTAAAACTTTCAGTGACTTCCAGCCACCTTGGAATAAAACTCAAACTCTGACAAATGTTAATTGTACATATTTATGGAGTGCAATGTGAGGTGATTTTCAATACATGAATACATTGTGAAATGATCAAATTAGGTTGATTCACATATCCACCATCTCACATACTTACAGTTTCTTTGCAGTGAGAACATTTAAAATCTATTCTTTTGAATTATTAACTGTAATTACCATGCTGTGTAATAGACCACCAGCACCTATTCCTCCTAACTGAAACTTTGACCAGCATCTTTCCTTTCCCTGTCCACACCCGTCTGCCCTACATCCAGCCTCTGGTAACCATCATTCTACTGTCTACTCTTTTTTTTTTTTTTTTTTTTTTTTAACTTTAAGTTCTGGGATACATATCAGGAACAGGTTTGTTGCATGGGTATACATGTGCTATGGTGGTTTGAAGCACCTATCAACCCATCATCTAGATTTTAAGCCATGCGTGCATTAGGTATTTGTCCTAATGTTCTCCCTACCCTTGCTCCCTACCCCCTGACAGGTCCTGGTGTGTGTGGGAGTGTGCCCTCCCTGTGTCCAGGTGTTCTCATTGTTCAACTCCCACTTATGAGTGAGAACATGTGGGTGGTGTTTGGTTTTCTGTTCCTGTGTTAGTGTTCTGTCTGCTCTCTACTTCTGAGTTCAACTGTTTTTTAGATCCCACATACACATGAGATCAGATCATGTGGTATTTGTCTCTCTGTGCCTAGCTCATTTCACTTAGTATGATATCCTCTAGATTCATTCATATTATCTCAAATGAAAGAATCTCCTGCTTTTTAAGGAGTAATAGTATGGCATTGTGTGCATATACTGCATTTAAAAAATCCATTCATCCATTGATAGGCACTTAGGTTGTTTCCATATCTTGACTATTGTGAATAATGCTGCAGTGAACACAGGAGTGCAGGTAACTCTTCAGCATACTCATGGCATTTTATTCGGGTATATACCCAAAAGTGGGATTGCTGGATCATATGGTAATTCTATTTTTAAATTTTTGAGGAACCTCGTTACTGTTTTTTAAAATGGCTATACTAATTTACAATACCACCAACAGTGGGCAAAGGTTCCCTTTTATCCACATTCTCACCAACACTTATCTTTCATCTTTTTGATCATGGGTAATTTAACAGGCATGAGGTAATATTGCATTGTTTTAAGGTGCTTTTGTCTGATGATTAGAGATGTCAAACGTTTTTTAGTATATCGGCCATTCTTGTGTCTCCTTTTGAGAAACGATTTTTTCAGCTCCTTTGCCCTTAAAATAGAGTTATTTGTTTCCATGTTATCGAGTAGTTTAAGTTAATTGTATATTTTGGATTTTAACTCCTTATCCAGAATAAATCTATACAACTGTGACCAATTAATTTTCAACAAAGGTGCCAAGAACACATAACAGGGAAAGAACATTCTCTTCATTCCCTTTAGTTGGGTAAAACTATCCACATGTAGAATGAAAATTGATTCTTATCTCACCACATATATGTAAATAAGCTCAAAACGGGTACAAGACTTAAACTTA